AAGGGTCGCAGGGATAACTACGATCAGCGGCAACAACGATTTAATCGCAACAGAGATGACTGGCAGCGCAACAGACCCTACCAACCTCGTGAAAGTGGCTATAGAGATAAGATGGACAGATCCCAAAGTTTTCGTGAGCGCGACAGAGAAAGGGAGCGAAGTGGACGCGATGAGGCTGCACCCGGTCCGTCCCAGCAGCAGCAACAGCGTCAAAGGATGCAGGTAGAGATAGTAGTAAATGATTTGAATACAACACCTTTCTGATCTAGGTTTACGTTCAGAATTACAACAATCGCGATCGAGATTATCGTCAAAATGATCGCGATTGGAATCGCGGCGAGACATCCGGGCCAGATCAGCTGACTTGGCAACAAAGAGAAATGGAGAGGAACGACAGCTATCGGGAAAGAGGTGGGTGATTTTGAAAGGTTGATAGGTGGAATTTTATATCTACATGGTTTAGGTCGTCGTGATTATAACAACTACAGACAAAGACAATATAACAAGTTTGATGACGATAGGGAGGAGCCGGTGAGCTTTGAAGATGTTTTCTCAATTTGCATTGAATGTCCAAGTTTTATGATTTTTCATATAGTGTTTAATTATTCATCTGATTTTTTACCACAGTAATGAGTTTTTTACAGGTTCCCGAAGACCCACGCGTAGACAGAAATGATGAAGATGGGTGGGAATATGTGAGTTCAATTTTCTTCCACTTATACATCGCTCCTCTTTGTTTTTGTTCGGCTTATGGAAGGTCTCAGTTATCAGATTAGTAAAGGGGCTCAAAGAGTTTGCAAAAATTGGTTGACTTCTGGAATGCCTGACCTGATTTTGCAAACTTAAGGACGATTATCAAGCTGCCGGTTACCACCACGATCCGAAAGAGTTTCAACATAAGCACAATAGAAATTACAATAGGCCGTTTAATAACCGTGGAGGATTTCGAGGACGAGGCCGTGGCGGATACTATCATAATCGTCATTACAACCGTGACGGTAAGTCTTCACTGCACTTCTGTACTTTAGAAACCTTGTT